CCGCTCTGTCTCTGGTGCATCCTCTCACCCTCCGCATCTCTGGCCTGTACCCCAGTTCTGTATGAATAAATAAATCTTAAAAAAAAAAAAAGTTTCCTCTTCCTGGCTAGATTGCAGCTCTGAAAAATCCTGATTGTCCCCTGTAAACTAAAGTGACTAGTAGAAAACTGGAATTTCTAATAAATGAGATGTCTTCTAAATGTCCTATAGTTGATGCTTGGTAAATACTCATTGAATGAATTAATATATTTTTGCCTCAGACAGGAACCTTGGGATCTTGCACTGCTTACAAAAGCCTGGTACACCAACCTAATGAACATCAAACTGCCTTTTTTGGAAGAAATTACATTTGGTAATCCTTTAAACCTCAAAAAATATGTAACCACCAAGGATAATCTGTTGCCTCCACCTGAAAGTAAGTTCTGTTAAAACTACTTGAATAAATTGCAATTTTTGTATGTTATTTTGCTTATTATCAGAGAAATGTTGAAATATGCTCAATCATACACACATCCCCTATTATGTGGTCCTTTCTGCTTGTTTAGTATTCAAGATAGCTAAGTTTTCTGTGTGAGAAGTGTTCTGTTTTGAATAATGTCAATTGGATTGCTTCATGTATTTTTCAGTTGTCAAATTGGAAAGAGATTATGAAATGAAGCGCTTGAAGAAACTGAAATGTCAGAAAAAGGTAGCAGAGAAAGTTCAGTTTTCTCTAAGGGAAAGGCCAGTTGGTTTGAGACGACCTCTTCCACCCAAGTGACAAGCATCTCATAACGGAATCTGTACTGTGCTTTCTTCATTCAAAGAGGATGAAGTCCCCATTCTCTTACTGTGTGAGGTTCTGTGTAAGCATCGGAATGCCTGCTGCAGGGGAAGCCAGCCCCGAGCTGGAGGGCAGCGCTCACAGATCTCCTGGGTCTCTTCACACACTTGTTCCATTGCGTCTTAAGCAACAGCACTGTAAGTAGATGACAGTGTGGCTGCACTAATTTCTTCCATGCTGTTTATTTTGATTTTTACAAAACTGCATGAAGGGAAGAGGAAACCTCTTGTCAGAGACTTTTTTGAAAAATAAGACATTTTGAATGTTCATCTTGTTGACATTCCAAGCTGTCATCAAAAGGAAGAGAAATTCTTCTAAAAATGATAAGCCCTGAAAAATTTTGTTTGTTTAAAAGTTGTAGATTTTATTTTGGTAAGACTTAAGTTTCTAATTTTCAGTGAAAGTTTCTTATTCTTACATATTTTATTTAAAATTATTTTATTAAAGTAACATTACATTATAATGTTATATAAGCTTTATGTGTATATCATTATAAATCAACATCTGTTCATCCTACATTCAGTTCACCACTATCAGTACCTTTCTAGCCATGTAATTTAAAAAAAGTTTTTTTTGAAGGTTCATTTATTTATGCATGTAAGAAATGGGGTACAGGCCAGAGATGCAGGGGGTGAGAGGACTCACCAGAGGGAGAGTGGGGGGCAGAACCGGTACAATGGCTGAAATACACTGCTGAGGGGAGCAGTTGGGCGGGTCAGAAGTCTGCTGCGCCATGTGGGTCACCTCCCTGGCTGGGGATTGAACTCATGCTGTAGTGGCTACTGATAGCTTCATTGTGCTGCACCTTAACCCTTTGCACCACCAGAGAGGCCTCCTATCCATATAGTTGTCCCCTAATTTACTCACTTTCTTTCCCCCCTCCCTCTGATAACCTCTTACCTGGTACTTTACAGTAAAGCAAGTTGACTTTTCATTCTTTCTGCCTACTTTCACATTGTCTCTCTGGGATGTCCTGCAGCATGTGGAACACACATACATGTGTAAAAATCAGAGGCCTGGCTATGAAGACAGTTCTTATTTGCACAGAAACTGGAGAATGGGGAATTAATTACCTGGAAAGTATTGGATTTGTGTGAAGTAATTTTGATAGAATTTGAATCCAATAACATGCACTTGCATATGAATTTATATTTATTCTTTAGTGTTTATTAGCTAACTTGAGGTGTTTTAGGATCTTCTGGTAGCTTAGCCTCATTATGAAAGGCATGTATAGCTTAGTGTTTAAAGGTACATACTTTAAAACCTGGGTGCTTTCTGCAGATTGCCAGCTGGCTTGTGGTAGTGGAATACCTGGTGCATGTTGCTTTATGTCCCACAATGTCAATTTTCGTATTTGTAAACTAGAGGTTGTACTGCTACCTACTCCATAGAATTGTTGTGGGTATTAAATGAAAACCATCTGGCGTACAAGGGCATTCTCTAGTGCTTGTGAACATCACTGTCCTTGAGCGCAGAACATATCGGAGAAATATTGGGCTGGCTCTCTTACCTTTTATGAAGAATTGAATTTTTGGAAAAAAAAAAAAGTTTTGTTCCTGTCATCGCATGTGTGCATGAACCTGCCACTCTGTAAACCTAATTTTCAGCTCAAAATCTGGCCACTCAAAATCTGTAAACCTAATTTTCAGCTCAAAATCTGGCCTATGGCTATCCTTATCATCTCTCTTTAAAAATAACAATTTCTTTTAAAAATATATTTATTAATTTAATCATACAAGAACTGGGTACAGGTTAGAGGTGTGGAGGGGTGAAGGATTCAACCAGAGACAGAGTGGGGAGCAGAACAGGCAGATATACTAAAATATACTGCTGAAATCAAACTCATGCTGCATTGGCTGCAGATAGCTTTATAGTACTGGCCTTAACCCCTTGTGCCACTAGGGAGGCCCAAAAAATAACAACCTCTGATACTCAGCATATCATTTTTGTATGTCTCTTAGATGACATGTGCATTAGGCCACGTCTCCACGGTGAAACCCAGGAACATAGGAACCAGCCTATGGTTTGTTCGTAGGAACCACTGTAAATATAGGCATCTTATACCTCATCTTGGAACCTTTACAGCCCTAGTTAGTGATGTTCATTGCAAATGTGAATTATTTGCTTCTATCCTTCAGAACTGTTGTGAAAATGAATGTACTTTGTATCAGTTTTCAGAAAACTTTCCAATATAAACCATTGTAATATTCTTTGAGAAAAGAAACTTTTAATTTCTCATCATTTTTCTTGAGAGAAAAATGCTGGCTTGCATCTTTGTCTTCTAATTATGTTTTTAAACACGTTTCTGAATGCTTAAAATGGCATCTAGTGAAATGAAATTACACTGAAAAATAGACTTGAGTAATGTGTATTTACATGTCCCTCTGCTGAAATTACATAAGAACAGGAATGATTTCATATTTTTAGTAGTACTTTATTGCCTACCCCAATGCCTAATTCCCATTGTTGATCCTCAAACAATGTGGAAGATGGGGTGCCAGACTGCAAAGATGAAAAGCTGCATCTAATTTTTACTTTTTCAAAATTTAACACTGATAGCCTGCTTGTGACCAGAGGCCTTCCCAGTAACATAAAGAGTTGATTAATATATACTTATGATGTTATGTATGATATATACACTGTTCTTAAAGTAGAGAAAATAAAATTGCTATTAGGACAATCAGAATAAAGAAAAAGTACACCTACCATAATGTACCGTATTTGTTGAAAGAGTCTTCATGTACGTGGACTTGTACAGTCCAAACCCATGTTGTTGAGGAGTCAGTTGTACATTTTCTGATTGAAATTTCCATATGGTCAAAGGTCCAAAAAATACTTCACAGTGTTCTTAATTTGTGATAGAGTAATATTCAAGAAGTAAACATGATGTGATTGCTTTGGGTCTCACACGGTTCAAGACAAAGAACGAACACATACACAACTTTTTTTTAAAGGATTGTACATTTTTTTAAAGATTCATTTTTGTTTATTTATGCATACAAGAACTGGGGCGTAGGCCAGATATGTGGGGGGTGAGAGGATTTACTAGAAACAGAGTGGGGAGCAGAACAGGCAGATCTACTGAAACATACTGCTGAGGGGAGCCATGGGCGGGTCAGGATTGGTCTGCTGCACCATGTGGTCAGCTCTTTGGCTGGGGATCGAACTCGTGCTGCAGTGACTGGCAATATCTTCATAGCACTGAAACTTTAATCTTATTCCATCAGGAATGCCCTGTTTATGGCTTTTAATAATTTGATTATGTCTCTCAGTATGAGTCTCTTTGCTTTATGCTAGTTGGAGTTTGTTTAGCTTTTTGAATTGGTATCCATTTTCTTTTTCAAATTGATAAGCTTTTGACTTCTCTTTTGTTATCTATCTTTAAGTTTCTTAGGGTCTTGATTTCACTAGTATCTCCAGAATATTTAATTATGTTTGAAGTTATCTTTTTTTTTTTTTTAAGGTATATTTACTTGTGTATACAGAAATGTGTACAGCCAGAGGTGCAGGGGTGGTGAGAGGATTCACCAGAGACAGAGTGAGGAACAGAACAGGCAGATCGACAAAATACACTGCTGAGGGGAGCTGCGGGCAAGACAGGCGAGGTCTGCTGCACCATGTGGGTCAGCTCCGGGGTGGGGATCGAACTCGCACTGAAGCAGCCATGGCTTGGCTTAGCTTCCAGAGCAGCGCTCCAACCTGCTGCACCACCAGGGAGGGTCCTGAACAGTTATCTTTTTAATTCCAGTAAATAACTTCATGGTTGTTATACTGTAGGGCAGAAACCTGTGGGCCATTTTGATTCCTCCTCCATCAATTTTCCCTTTTTAGTCTAATCCATCAGCAACTCTTGTTGGCCTTAACTTCAGACTATATCCCATATGTATCAATTTCTTCCTCCATATCCATCACCTTTTCCCAAGACTACTTCATCTCTTGTGTGGAATATAAAGAAAGCCCTCAACTGCCCTCCTTGCTTCCATACCTGCCTTCCTATAGTCTGTTTTCAGTAGCCATAGCAATCTGTTAATAATGGCATTATATCATTGCCAAAAAATCATGTCACTCCCCTAGCATTCTCTCCAGGGTCTACAAAGTCCTATGTATCTGCCTCTTACCTTCATCTTTGACCTCATTCCACCCACTCATCATTAACCCTACTGGATGTTAGCTAACTTTCTGTTCTGTGTCATATCAAACTTATTTCTTACTTTGGAATGCTTTTAATTGCTATTCTCTTCCCTCATATTTTCTCAGGGATGTCTCCTAATTGTTTAGGAAGGATTCAACTCAAATGATATCACATGAGGGAGGCTTTCTATCATCACCTTGGAGAAAATGGTCTTTCCTTTCACCTAGTCATTTTTAGTGACAGCACTCTGTTCTAATTCATTTACAATTCATATCACTATCTACAATTATTTATTTGCTTACTTATTTTTAAAATTTACTGTTGTGTCTCTAGTGTCTATAATAGTATTTACTATAGTAGCCACTTTATTAGTATTTATTGAATCGATAAATGTGTCACCTTAAAAATTGTTGATGGGAACTCTCTTGCACTGCTGGTGGGGATGCAAACTAGTATAACCACTATGAAAAACTGTTTGGACCTTCTTTAAACTGCTAAAAATGGAGCTTCCACATGACCCAGCAATCCCACTCCTAGGTATCTACCTGAAAGACACCTGCACCCCCATGTTTATTGCTGCTTTATTTACAATCGGAAAGATACAGAATCAACCCAAATGCTCAAAAGTAAATGACTGGATTAAAAAGATGTGGCACATATACACAATGGAATATTATTCAGCAACCACAAAAATAAGCACATGCCTTTTGCAGCAACATGGATAGAGCTGGAAGGGATCATGCTTAGTGAAATAAGTCAGAAAGAAAAGGAAAAATACTGGATGGTTTCACTCACAGCAGGAATATAAAGGACCAAGGGAGAAAATAATAATAATAATAATGAACAACTATATACCAGAGACATTTTACGGGGGTAGAGTGGGGAATGGGATCAAAAATGGGGGGGGGGCGGGGATGTGCACTGGACTAAGTTGATGGGACACAGGTGATTTGATGATGGGAAGCCCACGGGAATTACAACTGAGATGGAAAAAAATCACAAAATGATGTAAAAACAAACTATTATATTATTAAAAACAATGAAAAAAAAGTTGTTGATGGGCTTTCCCTGGTGGCGCAGTGGGTTAAAGTACTGCA